ATCAGCCATTTGGGAACGTGTAGAGGACCTTCATATGTTGTTTGTGAACTCAACACTACAGGAAAATGGTCACTACCATATAGATTATTTATGATTTTCCATTTGAGTAGGGGTAGGAGTGAAGGTGATACGATGCTGAGGTCGATAGACGAGTAAGTTTTGTTGGCAACGTTATAGTATGTTGGCTCTTTCCCATTCAACAAACAGGCACCGGAAGAGAAGAGAAATTGTTCAATGAGACGACCTCGTGCATCACAGCGAGAATCGCCCCACAGTCCACTATGTGCATTTAGGTCCCCAAGAAGCAAATAAGGTTCTGGCAGTTCGTCTATTAAAGACTGAAATTCACGTCTTTCAAGACGGTGGTGGGGAGGTACATACAAAGAGCAGATGGTGACGAGTTTGTTTAAAAGTACCGCTCGAACAGCCACCGCCTCAAGAGATGTCTGGAGTGGTAAATGTGTGCACGCTACTCCTTGGTTAATAATAATGGCTACGCCACCGGATGACGCCACAGCATCATCTCGGTCCTTTCGGTATATGACGTAAGCACGTGAAAAATTTGTATTGGAGGATTTTAGGTGTGTTTCTTGTACACACAGCACTTGAGGTGAGTATTTGTATAAAAGCTCTTGAACGTCGTCGAGGTTCTTAAGCAGTCCTCTGACGTTCCAATGTATAATTTGTGTGTCCATATTGGAAGTAAAGTAGTGCTGTGTGTACGTTAAGGGAGTGACTTGTTAAAGCTGAAAGGTCGAGCTCAAGTACCAGGGCCATTGTCAGGCCCTGTTATGAGCTTTTTAGTTTTCTTGGCGCGCTCCAGAGAGCCGCGCCGTTATTTTGGCACTAGGGGTGCCGCCGTATCCATTGCCTCCTCGGAGGCACTGGATGCCCGCTCATGCGAGCTGGTTTTTCGAAGCTTGGGCCTCGCCTGGCGAGGTGAGGCCTTGAGACCCGAGGACCCTGGAGTCCTTGGTCTCTGTTCAATAGTAGGCGGAGTAGACTCAACTACTGCCGCCTTGGGGGCAGGCGCCACAGCCAATGGCTCGCTCTGCGCAGGCCGAAGGAGTGGCGAGGGCTGGTGCGACACTGCCCCCTGGCGCACCGCATCAGCATATGTGGGGCCATAAAATGGCGAGACTCTTTTTCTTGCTTCTTTAAATGTAATGTTTTCTTTTATCTTTAAAGTGATGATCTCTTTTTCTTTTTTCCAGAAAGAACATGAACGTGAGTACACGGCATGATTTCCACCACAGTTCACACAGTGTGATGGTTCTTCGCAATTGTCAGAATTGTGGCCTGACACTCCACATTGTGCACAAGTTTGGTGACCACGACAGCTTTGTGAGCCGTGGCCATACTTCTGGCATTTAAAACAACGACGCGGGTTAGGTATGTATGGTCTGATTGACGTCTTTGTGTACCCTGTTTGAATACTTTCTGGCAGATTACTGGAAGCGAACGTGAGTATCAGGTGTTTCGTTGGTGTTACCTTGTTGTCTCTTCTAATGGTGATCCTTTGTACATTGGTCACATTCTGACTCTTCCACCCCTCCAGAAGTTCCTCTTCAGTCAAGCCTAGCAAATCAGCATCAGATACTACTCCACGGGTTGTGTTCATCGATCTGTGTGGCGTTACAGTGATGGGAGTGTCACCAAAAGTTGATAGATTCTGTAGCTTTTCAAACTGTTCTTTTTCTCGAACTTCAAGGAGGAGGTCTCCGCTGGCCATTTTGGTAACTTTGTACCCGGCTCCAAGAGTTTCTGTGAGACATCTGGCTACTACAAAGGGGGATACAGTTCTGGCTTGCTTGCTGCTTATCTCACTATGTATAACATGAAAATGGGGGAAGTTTTCACTTGATCGGTTGAAAAAGCCTAAGTCTTCGGTGCGTACACGCTTTAAGGCGGTACGATCACTTAATAAGGGAAATGCTCTATGCATGCCAGTTTAATTTTCTTCAGAAGCGTTGGCGGCCACCCACCACGGAGCCCAACGAGGGGACGCTACAAGTTTGTGGATGCTAAAACCTGCAGACGCCAGCCGTACAACGCAACTATAACCCAATGCGCCTAGACCAAGGTAGGCTATTTGCACAGGGTTAACCCTAGCCGCCAGGAAGTTTGGAAGTAAACGGAAGGGAGTAGAAGACAGGACAGATAAATAGTAAGAGATAAAGACGAAGATGTAGGGAGAGGGAGATAGGAAAAGGCGACTGCCGATTTCCCCTGGGTGGGTCAGCCCAGGGGTGCCGTCTACGTGAAGCCGGGGCCAAAGGGGTGTGTTGCCTCTGCCGGGGGGCCTTAAAGGTCCAATCACCCAGCGTCGGCTCAACCCTCAGGATCCCCTTTTCCCCGGACACGGCAAAGCCACGCACGGCTAGGCGTGGGAGGGAGTCAAAACTCCCCGTTAGCTTGGGTCCGTGGTGTCGCTACACACCAAACGCCAAAACTCCCCCGTTAGCTTGGGTCCGTGGTGTCGCTACACACCAAACGCCTACTTGCGCAGGCGCCCCTGCGGGCCTCGAACTATGCGCCAAGGTCTATGCACACAGGTGTTTTTGCAATTGATGCCCAATAAAACGTGGCAGCTGTGACTAGCAATGGAATCTGCATCCTCGCGAAGGGCGTGAATAACATTGAAAACACCTTTTTCCTTCGCACGAGGTCGAAACTTGAGTAGACTGGTCACTAAGGCTGAGGGACAAAGAATGACGAGAAATAAGTGTATAAATGCAGACAGACAAACCACACGTCAAAGACAAGGTGCAGTTCAGTCGAGAAAAGCAATGGCTCTTGAGTGCGATAAGCAACCCAGGTTATCAAACAAATAAGTCTAAATGGCTGACTCGTTAGAAGTTTTAAAGCAAGATATGATGCTGGGTCGGAATAACGTCTGCAAAGGAACGTACACAACACATAAACACCAGTGCGACACCACTACATAGAGCACATCTGTAGTGACGAAGTTTTGGTGCCTTTCTTTTAAAAATTCCCAAGGTCAACCATTGTGAATAGAAACATGCTAACACGTGGCTTGCACTTAGCACATCACTGCATGGGGTTAGTCCGTGAGGTTAGTCGTACAGACCTAGCCACTGTTGCAATGCTGTTGCATTGTTATGAATGGTCCAAACACTGCTTCGTTGTTATGGTGACGATGGGTACTACAACAGTTCCACTTGCGCTACGCCTACCGGTGGTTGACCTCGTACAACGAGCTAGCCCTACGTATCGTCTTTCTGGTGGTCACACTGTTTGTTTAATTCCTCATCTATTTTTATTTACGCAGAAAGCAGATGTTGCCAAGCAGGAGAGGGCTAACATGTTAGCAGCTAGACAGGGTTCAAGAGTATGAACACAAGAGTAGCACAAGGCGAAGACTTCCGTTTTCCAACAGAAAAGTAACAGAAAGTGACTAATTAGTGAGCAGTACAGGTGCGCAATGTTACTGTCATCTCTTCTGCATAATGTTGCAGTCATCCCTTCTCAATAACTTTGTGTACACTGCTAATAAGGAAGTCTCCCCAAATGTGCAAATCTTTGAACAAGCTGGTGGTCCATTATACTAACAACAGTGCAACAAGAGACAAGATATAGGAAGAAACACGGAGCAGCACTGAAGTTCTACCACTGAGATGAATATTGTAGCGGTACAACTCGCAAAATAGTTATACCTGTGTCACACGGGCGCGCAAAAAGTCTTTTAAGTGAGCGGTCTTTTACGAAGTTGAAAGACTTTTAACAAAGAGGTGTTTGCGGCGCAGACACACGGCAGCAACGATCTCCTTTTAGTGTTTTCGTTCGAAGACGCTAGCGAAAGCGTGGTGCTAGCAGTTAAAAGAGAAGCAATGAAATATAAACGATGTATCACGATGTACAAATTAAAGACTTGTTGCACTGCTCGTTTCTTCAAATAAATTTAAGAATAAGAGATGAAGAAACACCAATGTGAATGTTTTTTGCACTAGATAAGGAAGCATTCCCATGACTAGCGACGTGCACAAGTCTGTCTGGCACCACTGTGCTTTTATTTACCGTATTTGTTTTTCGCTGCTCTCGACTGCTCTCGACACGTTATGGGCGACCGTACAGGAGAAAAAGCGAGGATCGCAAGCCTCACGGCCTGCCTTTTCGCTCTGGAAAGCGAGGCAGACGCTGCAAAAGCCGCCGAGGAGAGGATAAAGCAGCGCAAGACCGAGCGTCACCACGTGATATTGCCGACGCGTTGTAGCTGCTTACGAGAGTAGAAAAGGAAATAACCATTAAAAGAGTTCATTACACCTTCTGCAGGATATGAAATTTGTTTTTACAAATATTTTGGTGACAGAAAAATAAGCATTCGCTCTTTTTTTCCCACCACTCGAAAATTGCTGGCGCCCACTGGTTTCGAGGCTACTCATTCGGAGCCGTAAAAGAGATCGACGAACGCAGTTTACGAAAAAGACCGCTTCTGAAAAGGAGTTCGCTCTGTGCCGTGTGTCTGCTGTCAGGAACTCCTTTTCGGAAAAAGACCGCTTACTTAAAAGACTTTCAAGTGCCCGTGTGACAGGAGTGTAAGTTCTTGCTATTCTACAGTGAAACTCCAGCATAGCATACACTGAGTTCCAGCAGTATGGCGAGCTCTAGTACAGTGGTTGACCGCCGCGTGGATTTATAACCTGATAAAGTAAGGCGAGCCACACTGGCACATTATTTATATCTGACAGTGTGGTGGCCTTTCCCCCAGTTAAACTTGACTGTTCTTGTAGTATGAACTACCCTCACAGTTTAAACAAATACCGTCAGATTACACTCTCAGCCCTGTCCATTTTGTTTTCCTCAACGTAACACAAAGCATGCCACCACCGCTGTGACCGAGTGTGGCAAGGTAAGCTGATGATGAGACCGTCCCTGTCAAATCGGTTTGATGCATCCAACATTTCCTGCCTGGCTAAGAACTCACTCAGCTATGGCTGTAGGTTGACGAACAATGGGTTCATCAAAGGTGAAACGCTTACCTGGCTCGTCTTGAAATTGAACACCTTCACTGAATTGCCTGGTTGTCCCCGACTGGCGCACACCTCGTCGTGGAGAGCCGAGAAGGCCAGCTCGGTCACGCCACTGCTATGGAACGGCTTGCGATCTATGGGAAGGCTGCGTTCACACAATCGAAGTACGTAAGACAACAACCACTTCTACTTCAAAATACGTCAAAACAATGCATCTGTTTAGATTGATTGATTGTACTCCATAGAGAGAAAAATCGAGATCACCGTTTTATTTCTAAATTTTGCTCGTGCGTGACGTCCCAGATTTCAAAATGAGTCTCTCGTATTTTGCTGACATTAGCTCAAAGAAATTTTATGAAACACGGAATTTTAAGTCTATAACTTCTTCAGAGGGCACTGCACTTCTCCACTTTTTTTTACCAATCACGTAGAAACTAGTAGACACTGTCGAAACCTATGATTTCATGGCATATAGTCCGGGAATCTCAACGTGGTGCCACCACACGAACTTTTTTTTGCGCGCATTCTTGTTTACTGAGCGTCTTCTTGCAAAAAGTGTGGTTATTTTGGAATTATGAAAGGGTTATTTACTAATGTCAAAAACGTCGACTTTCTTTCTAGTGTACCCTTGTAAACTAACTGCAATGAAACTTTACTACATGTAACCAGAGGGTGTGGCTCACCCCTGGCTGCATTCAAATGCATGTTTCTGGAAACACTCGACAGTGACCAAGGTGAGGACATTACTGACATTTTGACTCCCACACAAGAGCCTTGCTCTGAATGAAGGGCGAAATGTGAAGGCAATGAGGTTACATGTGGCTGAGTGCGTGATTTCACGTGCCAGTGCATATAAACTTAACATTTCCAACGTTGAAATTTAAAGCTTGCGCCATTATCCCAAGATCCGACGCAGACTCTGAATGCTTGATGCTTTCTCGATTGTGAGTTTGTAGGCAATCAGCCATTTCTGATATGGCAATCTGATTTTTTATCGAAGTCTCTTGTCATTTCACATTGCTACATTTTAATTGCTGTCTTTCATTGTTACACTTCACTGTTTTACGCATGACCGTAGTCGTTGCCTGTAGCAACAGAAGTGTCACACTTCGTGCTAAGCACGTGGGTGCTTTTCTCGACATAGGAGGCCAACATGGAGCGAGGAAACGTAGGTGAGGCATTGGCCCAAAGCCGTGCTTTAGTTTAAAGCTCTGTTGTACAGGCTAAGTCAGAGACATAGCCAAGGAAAGGAGATGCAACCTCCCTCCCTCACTAGGAAATTTTCAATATTGCTTGCGTGCATATACATGCACACACCAACGCATGCACGAACGTACATAAAGTATTTTTCAACCCCCCTTCCCCCCCCCTCAAAAATATTTCCGGCTACGTACCTGTATTAAGTGTGACAAATTTCAAAATATAATGTGCTTTGCTGCTTATATTTTGCACCCTGGCATTATTCACACCTCAGCTACTATTTGGATTTACTTCAACTTCACTTTGAACCAACAAAATGATATTTACACAAACTCAATCCTATTTCCAAAAAGACAATGTGCAAGTTAGCTGGGACTTGATAAAACTGGAAATTGCTCTTTTTAAGTGTGTGATATATACTATATGAACTATACAATTAGAAATTATTTGACTAAATCACTATTAGCTTCCTCTTTGCTCTGAACCTTTACTATACTCGCCGATCTCTAAATATGAGACCATCCCTAGACATCCCCCAGGACAACGAGAACTGAGGCTTCTGCAAAGCATTCCACCCTCCATGGAGTACTATAATAGGGCCCCAAAACCAGCTCTAAGTATTTTGTAACATTTGAAGCAGACGTGCGCATTCAGTTCAGAATGCTGTCCGATCAACAGAGCCAAACGTGGCAGTGCTACGAGCCTTGAGTGCGATGCGAATTCCCAGAAACAATCTTCTCTTCAGACCTTACGTTTTTTTCTAGTGTTTGCTGTGACGTCAACATCTGAAACTGTTCATGTCATCAATCAAAAGAACCTGTTTGTCGGCTTGCACATACACGCGCTAGCCACTCTTCCTCTTCGCACTGTGAGGAGAACTACGGCCAGAAGGAGAGACGAGCCGGTGAATGGAGTATCGTGAAGAAAACGGAAAAACAAGCAAGGGCCTCTTTTGAGTCATCAAACTAAACTCTACTACTATAGCACTGTTTCGAAAAATTCTCGTGGATGGGCGTTTGTTGAAGACTTGTGCACAACTGCAACAACACAACTAAATTTCGACCTTTAAATGGTATAAGAGCCTTTTAATAGTTCGTAGCGACACAAATCTTGAGTGCATGTGCCCCACCTTGATCGAGACGTCTCCCACACGTAGCAGTGGTTGCCGATGCCGGCAATTAAGAGCTGGGTGTTGCCAATGCTCCAGTCGGCCGCCAGGAGGATACCCGGTTGTCCGGAATCCACGGACATGAGAGGCTGCCCCGTCATTGCGTTGTAGAGCCGCAGAGTGCCACGCTTCTCGGCCACTAGGAGCTACGCCCCAACAAACGATGGAAACATGTCACGACAGCACTCTGTGCTTATTGCGTTTTTATAGCAGAGCTGTTAAGCGCAAGGTTTGTCCATGTGGCATAAAAGGAAAGCTATCATTATAATGAACCGGCACATGTTCATTTGGTCCAGCAGAGATAAGCCCAGATAAACCAAGGCAATTATAGCCAAGCCTAATTAAGCCCAACTGAACATGGTAATGCTCAATTAGCAAGCCATAATCATGTTGAAGAAGTGAAACCTGAATTAGCCCTAATTAAGCCAAGATGAATTACCCCCGTATTCAGAAATGCTCCTCAACTTGAACTTGACTTGCCACCGCTGCAAGGCAGCGCATTTGAAAGGCATTTGTGCTGCCTTGGCATAGCCAAAATACGGCACGCTCGAAATGTGCTTGTGCTGCATTGAAGACGGTGGCACGTTAAGTTCAAGTCGAGGAGAGTTTTTGAATATAGGGTTTAGGGAGACTAATGAGTTCGAGCTCAGCCAATATCACCAAGCCAGTCTTAAGGTTGACTAGCGAGTTAAGCCCTGGGCTTAGATATAGGAGTTGCTCAAAACTAACTGCATACATGCCAATTAGGCTAATTAGACTACTTAAGCTACAAAAATCGTGTCTGATTGGTGCTGCTAGTGATGGCTTATCAGTACCCAATCGAATACTGCTTCAATCAATTGGTACCCAATCAATACCGCCTAATTAATACTGCCCAATCAATACTGCCAATCTTGGTTTACAAGAAAGACCACGTGAATGCTTCGTGCAGTTGTGGGTGAATGCACTTATCCATTGACCTAGCAACGCTTATCAAAACAAAGAAAAGCCTAGGCAAGTCAGGACCAGCTATGTGCTCACCAGCTCTGCTGTGACCCAGCCTGGTGACTTGGTGCAAGCTGTGCTAATTATTTTATTTCGACAGCTACTGCAGAACTCGTAGCATTGCGGTCAAATCTTTGACTGTACGCACATTTACACAGAAATGAAGCAAACACTATCGGTATGGCTGAATGAATAGCATGACGTTGTGACAATGAAGAATATCAATTCAAGTCGTCAGTTAACAAATAGACTCTTCGTTTAGACTAACTTTCTGCTGAGCAAAAAAAGAAGGAAACATTAGTGGAGAAAAAACAGCAATGATCACAGTTGTTAGAAATCTGGTCTGTGAGTAAAATGCGTCGGCTTTCTTATGAGCACCAGGGTAATCACTTGTGCTGGTTTTACAATGAAAGTGGCTATTTGCATCCCGCATGCAACTTGAAGAGAACAAATAAAGAACATTCGAGGAGGTTCAAACATGCGTAATAGTTTAAGCTGGCAAAATGAGTTCACCATTATAAATACAAAAAAGGTTCATCAACATGATGCCACTAAACTGAACTGTCACAGAATAGAGATGGGTGAATAATCAAATGAATTTAACACTATTCCAAATTGCTATGACATCAATGTATATTATTTGAAATGAATGAATACATGTGTACTTGACCATATGCAACCTCCTGTAGCGTGGTGCTTCTATGCCACGAAACTGCCTATCCAGTAGAAATGCACACAGCTGTGAAGCCGCACATGATGTACATATTACCTGCACCTCAATTATTTTTATTTTAAAGTTTAGAAGCATGCAATGGAAGCTTGTACACACTAAGTATAGGAAAATTTCAAAATGTAACATATTTTACCACTAATAACTTGCACCCTTTATATATTAAATCCTGCTAATATTTCAATTTGTTTCCACTTCGCACTGAACCAGAAAAGGCTATCCACACACACTTAGATCTAATTCTTGAAACAATTGCATGAGTCAGTGGGTCATGACAAAATATGCTCCTATTTTTCGTAATAACATGCAACATATGCTATTCAAAGTATACATTTAAAATTACACGACCGAATCGCTATTCAATTCAAATTTGCTTCAAATCTGAAGCTTACAGTAAGAAATTCCCTATTGCAAAAATGCCACTAGACTGAACTGCCATTGAAATGCCACTGAAGTGAACACCACAGTTACAAAGCTGCCAACCTTTCCCAGCTCTTGGTGATGCCAGACAACCGCGGTGCCAGCTGACCGCAGGGCGATGCGTGCCTGCTGTGTGCCGTCCAGACCCCAGATACGGCAGCTGTTGTCGTCTCCGACACTGGCCAGCGCCTCGCCCGACTGCGGCTCAAAGGCCACCGCATTCACAGCACCTCGATGGCCGGACAGAACCTAGGGCACCGCAAGAACACACTAAGAGATATGGCATAGTAGACAATAGACCACTCGTACGAATACCAGCATCATTGCAAGAAGCCCTGAAGTGCCCTGAGGTCTTCAAGCAGCACGAAAACAAATAAAGAAAGAACGCTCAATAATGCGATGCTCATGCAAGCTAAAAGAAGTATGAACGAGAGATAGGCGTTTCATCTTGACACAAACATTTTTTGCAATCCACGTGGTATGCATGTTTGGCGAAACGCATGGGACTGCTCGTGCACAATGGCGGCTGTTAGCTGCTTCTTGTACATATGTACAGAGGGCGCTCCAATTGATTATTTTTTTGCTACGAATATGCAGATGGTGATCGGCTACCAAGCTTTGTGGAATTGAAATACACATGCACAGTACACTATACAACCCATAGTATTTACTGTAAGCATTCTATTCAGATCTAGCATTACCGTGTTTGCCTCGTTGAGTAGAGTATGTGAAACAATGGCGGTGGTTTTGCAAGCCCACTACAAACTGAATTTAGCATTGATGTGGATGAAGCTGCTCCACCACTCAGCCATGCAATTCCAGAATCCACTGGTGATCACGTGGAAGAGCTATGTGCCACCAACCGATAGGGAAAGGCCACAGCAGAAGGTGCACCAGTGACTTAGTACCGATTATTGTTTGACAAAACCTGGTCGCGTGCAGCCGTGCGGACCCAGCGACGAGAACGAAGTGGACGTAGGCGCGAGAAGGTGAGCGCGTGGGCCATCGAATAAAACAGTTGGTTTTTGTCATTTGATGTAGCAACATCATTTTTCCTTCTACCTTCCGCTATTACCTTAATGAAAACCAGCAGATAATGAAGCCAAAGGAGGTATAGGGAATGTTAATTGAACTGCTTTAGCTGTTTCATAATATTTGTGACACAGATAAGAAAAAAGTGGACGAAAAGACAACTCGCCGAAGGGGCTGAACTTGCGACAGAACCATGAACCGAAGCTGTGACCTGCTATCCGAAGGTCGCAGGTTGGTCTCTGCCAGCAGGCGGTTTTCTTTTCTTCTAACTTACTTTCTTCAAATCTATATCACAACTATTAGAATGCACCTAAAGCAGAACAAATAATGCTCTCTATGTCTCCCTTGCCTTAATTATCTGCTGAATTTTATGAAGGTTGCATCAAACAAATGAATGAGCCCTTAAAAAACTACCTCCCGCTATTCACCAGTTATCCCATGCACGCAACAAAAATTGTTGGGATGAGCTAAACGACCCACCTGAACATCATCTGTTTGCAGGTTGGAGAAGAAGATCCGCACCTCGTTGTCCAAGCTCGCCGTTGCGAACCTGGAAAAGAACAGCTACCATGTCAAGTACAAAATAAAGTACAGCGAGCAGAGCAGGTATTGGGCATGCGGATCTTGCCTTATGCAAATGTGTTCCTTAATTTTCAAACAAGATGTAAATGAACTTTAAGATTTACCTTTTCTGTGATCAGGTGCCTGTTCCTACCTCAAATATCAAACCACTTTCATATCAATATCAGTGGGACTTATAGGTCGACTCCTGCAACCAGAAAGTTCGTAAAGTTGAGAAAGAAATTTTTTGGCTTTCGAAATCTCAAATTGCAGTGTAGCGAAAAACAAAAGCTATCAGGCCACTGTTCTCACCACCAATCTACTACTGCACATGTGAAAAGTCTGCGAGGACAGCTCTGACATGCAGCATACCACCTAGCCCCGAAAAATGGGACACCATGTTCAGTGATACAAGCCAGGAAGACAGTTATGTGAAGCAATGGCGGGTGAACTGTATATGCGGAGACACGAAGAGTGAATGAAGTGATTGTGTGAGCCACTGATGTCCTAAAAATAGATTTGAAACTTGCACTATGCAGTGTGTAATGCTACACCTAACAAAGATATAATGTTGAAATCTACAATTGAAATTACGAAGACGATTTTGCTAGCAGAGTTTTCTTTGTAGCAACAGCAATGTGAGAACAAGAGCACTTCATCCAGCCCGAATGGTCATTACTCAACTCCCTTTTTCAAAAACTCCATTTAACTTCCACGGCAAAATGGCGGCACTGTGATATGAACTGCACCTCTTTCGACGAAAAGACAGACAAGTACTTAACCGTTTACTGTCGGGTGTCCTTAAGCTGCAATTTTCGGTGATTGCGATAATTACTTACGGGGAAACAAAAATCGTGTTTTCATTGTGCGATGTTGGTTTGAGCCTTGCCGAAAAACTTTGAGCAAGCAAGTCATAAAATGCGTGCCACCTATAATGCCAGGCGTCAAGTACTCACGGGAAATGTAGCGTTCAGCATGAAAAATATAGTGCCGTCTCGTCTAAGGTACTTTATGTTAGAATGAATTGTTTTGTAGCTGATGGCAGAAAGCACGAAGCTCGTGCAACATCTTTCACTTCTTCGTTCTTTTTTGCCTGGGTAAATTAAGTTCTATCTTCAATAATTTTGTTTATTTGATGTGTATGCGCCGAAGACATGCCACACGACATGTTACGTAGTTGTGAAATACGTTTTTTCTAGCAAGGTCCTCGCTTCTGAGACATATGAAGAACTCGTGACCTGCCTAAAAGTATGCATTAAAGTTGCATTTTGGATAATTTAACTGCAGAATCAATTAAAGGTAGTTCCTTGAAGCTAGAAGGTGAAAAGAAGTTTTCTTTTGTTCAGCGGTTTCACAATTCAGGCATTAAAGGGTTAAATGGAGTTCCGTGGTGACCGTGTGACAGGGGTACAGATTGCATAAAGCATGTAAGTATCTGTTAAAAGTAATATGTAAACAAGCAATCAGGTGTGCTACGAATGCAAGCTAGATAGAAAGAAGTGATAACATAAAACAAGTTGGCAAAAAAAGCACTACTGCCTTGTTAAGCACTCTATAATAATAATCGTTGGGTGTAATGTCCCAAAACTAAGATATGATTATGACGGACACCATAGTGGTGCGCCCTTGAAAATTTCGGCTGCCTGGGATTTTTAAACTCGAGCCTAAATTTAAGTACGCTAGCCTCCAAAATTTTTTCCTTTCAAAACGCAGCCACAGTGGCCGTAATTCAAACCCGCGACCTTCAGATTAGCAGGCCAAGGACTCATGGAACCTTGTAAGGGCCAGAAGGCACGGGCTCTATGAAGAAATGCTTGATCAGCGTGGCATCTCTGAGTAAGCTAGTAAAGCAATGAAGTTTACCCACCTGATCCAGACCGGATCCAACACGAGAGACATGTTGGGGCTCCAGGAAATGTCTTGGAGGGGGGCATCGTGTCTGAACTCGCGCAGCTTTTTCACTTCCACTTGTTTCAGCTCACTCTCTTTAGGCTGCGGGTACAAAATGGAGAAAACACCTGATACTAGCCTCTTACTTGGCACGCAACATTGCTGCACTGAGCCCTTCCCTAATGGCAGCTGTCCAGCGGAGAAAGAATTGCAGTGCACATCACTTCGGTGCACCTCAGCCAGTGGTGTAGCAGGGGGTGGCACACAGAGCCCATGCCCCCCCACCAAATTTTTTATTGCCATGGCACACATGGCAAAGGCACACATAGTGAAAACGATCATTCCAAGGGGGTGCCCCCCCCCCCCCCCGAATTTCTGTCTATTCCCCTGACTTCAACTTAACAAACAAACAAAAAAAGTCACAGTTTCGCCAAAAGGGCAAAGCAATGAATGCGATAGCTACATATTTGAATGATTCAGGAAGCAAGGCTAGCATCCGATTTCAGCTCTACAAAATACTGTAAGAGAATACAGCCGCTCTAGGTATTCTTTTGGCACTATTTTTTCGTGCAGAGAGTGCAGCCCATAGAAGCTCCCACAAAAAGACGCGGTAATCATTGCCACTATAGTGTCCCCCCCCCGTTCACTCATGAGATAAGCGCGCACGCAGATGGCCCTAGCCGAAGATGCGATATTCGCTCCGCAATAAGAGGAGGCTAGCGCATCCTCCCAGGTGTATATATATATATATACATATATATATATATATATATATATATATATATATATATATATATATATATATATATATATATATATACACATGTACATGAATGATGGCGGCGGCGGCAACAAAAACTAGCCGAGACTATCCATATATCACAATAAAACATCATCAGCCTACGTAAAGAGCAGGGCGGTGTTAGCGGGGTCACTAGAACCACCTCAGAATTTTTTACTGCCCTCCCCTATGCCCCCCTCCAATAGCAAACATGGTAAACAAAAATGCACAGGTTTCCCAACTCCCTGGACGAACTCACTAGTAGTTGGCGTAATCCCAGTGAACAAATCCTGGCGCCACCCTTGGTGAAAAGTGCAATTAAACACAGTGCGTACAACTATTCGCACTTTCTATGCAATGATTATGCAGCACACAGGTGACAGCTTCATTGCCTCGCAATGGGAACTTTTTGATTTAGAATCTTGGCGGAATGTGAAACCTAGACAGGAACTTCATTCGGGTGAGTTCGCCCATAGTTAAGTGGGGGAAATACAGAGAAATAACGGCGCAAAGAAGCCACAGTACAATGCATGAACACCAACTTACAAGTTAGTAGCAATGCTGACTGACAACTAAGTTGCAACTTGCAAGTGAGTTACGAAAGTGACCTAAGACCAAATTGCAACTTACAAATAAGTTACTATGCTGACTTGCAACCAAGTTGCAGCTTGCTACCGTGTTATGATGTTGACGAATGAGTTGTAATATATAAGCGAGTTAGAATATTAACTTAGAACCTATATCAACTTATAACCGGCCATAATTAGGCTATTAGCCAGGTCAAATTTTGCTGTTTTTCTGCCTAGACAGTCTTCCCGAGCTTCTGTTGCATCTCGAAAACTCCACTGCAGGGTGCCCAGAATGCATGCTCAGAGGTTGGCCATTTTAAATCATGGTGTAGATGTCCCCCGTGCTATGTGGAGCTCTTTTACATCGCGCTCTAAAGAAGTGTGTTGAGCTTTATACTTCGACAAGTGAGGACCCAGAAGTGGTAGGATGGCCCTTTATTGTTGCGTCCGGACAGAACGCAAAAAAAGGAGAAATGGCTGTGGCTTAGCTGTGTTCCGTTATGCAAGTGAAAGCTTGTTTACTTGGTTATGCTTGTTCTTCGTAGCTGAAGCCCAGTTCACCACACAAATGATCTGGCTAGTCAAATGTTACATACTGTGTGCAGTCGCTACCAATGTTTTGTCAGCTTTCGAAGCCGTTGTTGCAGCTCGATGAGAGAAATTCCAGGCCTCTAAACCACTGACAGACGCTCGTGTACTCCTCTGCTCGCAGTTACGCTCACTCCTAGCGTGTTTACCTTGGACACTGAAGAAGGGCATTCGGAAGGGTAGACAGACTAGGCAATGAACGCGTTCGCTGTATGCTCGTTCAACAACTGCAACGACACAGCCGAATTTCATGCGGCTTCTGATGGGTTATCTGTTCTTCGCCTAAAGACCACGCGGATACACACAGAAAAACTTGTTTGACTAGGCCAGTAAAGCTTTCACTTAAAAAAATTAATCTCTCACTAAAGGGAACCATGAGTAATATGCGAAGCAGTGCATAGGTTGACTTGAAGTTCTGTTTATTACAGGCACCTTTCCAGATGTTAACGCGTCCTTGCAAGTGGAGCACACCATGGATTCGCAGAATTTTATGTTGCTGTTACTCGTCCCGAACTCTTGTTGGAGCACGCTAAGCGGGTTCATCAACAACGATAGTTATAGCGCGTGAACAACACGACGACACAGAGACAAGAAGGACACGAAAGACACGAGTCAAATGTCAAAGACGCGCTCGTATCTTTCGTGTCCTTCTTGTCTCTGTGTCGTCGTGTTGTTCTCGCGCTATAACTATCGTCATGCCATACCAACTAGCCCAAGCTGCCACACTTCATCAAAAAGCCACGCGAAAGCACGTGCGTTCATCAGCAGAATCTCGTTCCCCGACGCTATCACGTGATTACTGAGAGAGTGTAAGGGGGAGAGACCAATAACCTCTTAACACAGCTACTTACGCAGGCTCGAACGCGCTGGCGCGTGCCAGCGCGTTTTCGCTAGGATACAAAGCGTTGGTTCATCGCGCGTTTGCAGAATCTCGTTCACGACGTCATCACATGATTGCTGAGAGCGGATAAGCGTAAGAGGCCACAGCTTCTTAGCCAGCCCCTAACACAGGCCGGAACACGCTAGGCGCTAGCGCGTTCTAGCAGTGCCTAGCGCGTTCCCGCGGCGCTTGGTCTAGTGTTGCGCATGCGCAGTAAAGGTGGTCACGCCGCACACCACCGGATTGAACACCGCCATAAGCTGCGTTGTATCGAAAAGCAGCGTAAAGTAAAACTGACCGGCAGCTTGACGTCGAAAACAGTCACGGACGACGCGGTACCGACAGCCAGCAGAGAAGAGTTCCACTTGCAGTGGCAAAACTTGACAACCCTTGTGGTTCCTTTTACTGAAAGGTTCCGATTTGGATCGAGGTCGACGGTGTTGGTAACAAGCTCGGCGGCAGTGATCTTCATGTTTTAAAACTGGCTAGAAATACGCTAAAGTTCTACAAGCTTGACTTAACGCACTTGCGAAAAACCGGCATGCGTTGATTGATGTTTACCACGTCAATGCTGCCACTTTGTGCACAGAGTTTGTGACTGAGAAAACGCTCAATAATTTTGGCCGCGTTGCAGTGAAACAATGTCATCCTAATTTGCAAACCTTAGCCTGCGTTGATTTAAATTGCAATGTTGCTTTGAAAATCAGCCTGCAACTTTCGTTCTAACAAAAGCTGTCCGTCTCAAAGGCTGTATTTTCAATGGTTTAGCAGAGTTGAACATGCTTATGTGTAGCCATCCTGATTTGTAGCTGCTATAAGCTTTACGAGGCTGTCATTTATTGAGTTTTACGCATTCTGAATCATCTCATTTTTTGCAATGGTTTCTAGAATACACCGCAGTGGTGTTCACAATGTGTCCACAATTCATATCCAGGTGAGATGTATTTACAAGTCTTGAAGGCTACGCTTTCTCAGTATGCAAACATTTAGACATTCTTAAGTGTGTCATGACCGTCATGTTTATGTGATTAAGAAATCATAAAGCCACAGACTTTGAAAGTTTCGAATCAATTATTGCTAACTCATGGCTCTTCAACTTAGTCATTACCCATGGACATCGACACGGCGTTTTTGTTTACTGCACTGCCATCTAAAGGCGACTTCGAGCATCGTCTCGTTTTCGTCTGTTTCTGCTCCTGCTGGCAGCCCGAGCAAGTTCAACACGAAACATTCTTTACGGATTCGCGCACCCCTTCTCGATTCGTCAGTGGGTGAGTCTTCGTTGTCGACTTCGTTCACGGCACGCCGTTCACCTCGTTGCCGAGGTCCGAACTTCGGCGTGGTCGTCCCGTTGTCCTCGCTTCTCCACGATTCAACGAGAACGTCCCTGCAATCCCCCCGATTCTGTTTTAGGCCTAATCTCTGCTAGCTTTTCGGGGTCTAAACTGTCGACTTTTCCCTCTTCGCAAAGGGCCGAGCGAAAGCGACGCGCCGGGTTCGCCTGGCTATCGCGGTTGCACGAGTCGCCGCTACTGCGTTGCAGCCCGTGTAGCGAGCGTCGCGTCGCAGAACGAGCGGTATTTAATTCAGCCAGCGGTCGCGTCACCGTCTTGCATCCGACGCTTGGCACCCCCGTGTGCTTCCGTTGCAGCGATCAGCTGTTCGCGCTGCCGGATCTCTTTTCTCTGGCACGCTGTAAAGTGTCAGCGATGTCTGGTAGCGTCGCTGTCATTAGCCCTGCAGTGCGCGTGACTGTTTACTCCGTCTCGGCGGCCTGGAGCAAGCTCCATTCAATGAACTTCGGATGGTGCTTTTAACTAAGCACCGTCATGGGTGCGTTTCGTCGGCGTCGAGAGTGCCAAATCACGCTCCCTTTGGGCAATCGCTCCCGGAGGGTGAAAGAAGGGGGGGGGGGGGAGGCTGGCTGGAGGAGCGTTCTAAAAATACGGGTGAAAACGCCTTTTAGCGTAACGCATGCATCGTGCCGAGATCGTAGAGGGCTTTCCCGATACATGCCCGCCGTTGAATTTCTCGGAAACGCGGCGTTGTTAGGGAGCTGGCTTCTGAAAACGGTGCCCTTGACCCCTTGTACGCCATCCGCTCACTACTGGCGATTCGCGGAGAGAGAGGTTGTTACCCGACGTTTACAGACGTTAAGAAGTCGTTGCCCCATGTTTACCGACGTTTAAGGGTTGTTACCCGTTGTTTACAGACGCTGTTTGCGCGTGCAGTCGCCGTGCCCTGTGCGAACAGGCTAGCTTACCGTGAAACACTATGGCCACGTTAGTTTGGTTATTGTTTGGCCTGTGCGTTCCCCTCGATGTTAATTTTGACACTTCTAAGAAGAGTTTGTTAAAAGCACAATCGAAGCAGAAGCCCAACCAAACAAAATGACGGCTTTGTTGGGGTTTAGTATTTTGATTAATTTCTAGAGCTAAATAGAGGTCCGTCCTTATCAAGATGAACAAGGCACTTAGGTGCCTTGATGACATTGAAATGCAACGTTGTGCAGTGATAACGTTGAGAGCAACATTGAAGTTACTTTTCACTGATTTGTTTCGTGTTGGAAAGCGTGGAGTGGAGCCGCAGTGGTGCGTGAGGCGATGAAGAAAGCGTGGCCTATGCCAGCTGATTGGAAGGTCTTCCCTGCTTGTGGTGATTGAATACAGCTTTGCACTATCGCTGTGTACGAAGAGCCCATTTTCCACTCTGAATCAATTAGCACTGGAAACAGCCTGTCATGTTGAATGCACTACATCAACAGATCAATATTTACAATTCGTGCAGCCCACCAGTGGAGCCCTGCTGGGAAATTTGTGAAGGGCATTTTTGTACACACCCTCCAAATTGTTTAATGGCTCAACGAAATGGCACACCATGTACAGCAAAGAAGATGTAAAACATGCTTTCTTAACGATGCATGTAAACAACGCTAGGTTAGTAATGCGAAACGTAACTCTTGTGCATAGCTCTCAGATATTCGGCAGTAGGGTGGGCAAGGTTTGCCTGTGTCTCTCTTAGTCTTGACCTCATGGGTGTTGTGATCATCTCTTTTAATCCCCTTACCCCAGTGTAGGGTAGCAAACTGGATGGGCGTCTGGTTGGCCTCCCTGCCTTTCATTTATTCCCTTCCTCCTCCTCCTCCTGCATCTTCGAAATGTCATTTTTATACTAATGGGAGAACATATACAGAGGGCAGAGTTGAGAGTTTGTCAAGTTTGGACCGACCAGTGTTTATTAAGTTGGGACCTAAACTGAGCGTGCACAAAGTAGCTTCGGCAGTATGCTTTCATTGAATTGAGTCATGTAGGTGGCTTGCAAAACCTAGGAGACAGATTTTCTGTGCCTCAAAACAGTTATGCATAGTGGCGCTGTCGCCACTCCCATGAAAGTGCCTTATGCGCCTCATGCAACTGTGCTTCATGCCAGATACCCAGTGAATGCTAGCGGATTTTACGTTGAAGTTATCTAATGTCTTACACATAGCAAGCACCCAATTCTATGGAATTACTCCTGCCAATGGAAATAATGCGAAGCATTAATAGAGGATATAAGTATGGATTTTCTGGCTCGGTAAAAGACGTATGATAATTTGGGTTCGATAAAAAATTGACAACATTGAAGCTTCTGAGATTTAATACCATTAACCAGGCCCATAGCCAGAAATTTTTTTTTCGGTCGGGGGGGATACCGGTTAGAGGCCTTCAAAAACACCTACTGTTTATTAATGTCCTCGTTAAGACACACCCTCTATCCAAATTTCAGGGGGGGGGGGGGGCTAGGCTCTCTTCCTTTGGCTATAGGCCTGCTATTAACGCAATCTAAACAATGGCTTGTTTGTGCACTTGGAGGGCTATGGCATCTCACTCATGCTCGCTATCGATACGCCTTGTGCGTAGCAATGGTAGCACACGAACGCGTGCTGCAAATAGCATGTTATTTGATGTGAATGTACATCCGAAAGGTTCACATGTAATACATATAGTGGTTAACATGCAAACATGCGTTGTGGTTAACATGTAAACATGCGTCTGCAAATTGTATGTGTAACATGTATACATTAACATTTTGGAGGCGTAGCAGAGCAAGCACAATACTGTGAAACACAGTGAGTGACGTAAGACTGCTCTGCTTGTGTAGCTTTGCAAAAAAAAAAAAGGGGGGGGGGGAGCATTGTCATCCACGGTTTGAAGCATGACACTATCAAGAGAAACCTGTGTGCATTTCTCAGAAAAAGCTGCGTACATTTGAAGAAATCGTGTCTTTTCAAAAGCGCAGGCATGAGACCATAACAAAAACTCCATAACATGTGCGCCAACTTTCAGCAGAGGTTTATTGCTTGGGCATGAAATATATAGTCAGTGATAGCAGGGAAAAATAATGGGAGACATCGTATGCAGTAAAACAAAAACATGGTCATTGTCTAGTGTTGTCCTTCAGGTGTCACGCGTCTGTCCAGTTGACTGACAGGGAGATCGAATGTCAGCAAAATTAACACCTCTTCTGAAGGCTCATTAGACATAGAAAGAAACCTACAATAAGAGCTATATATGACTGAGAAACGTTTTGCTGTGCAACATCGGAGGAAGTGTACAGTAATTTTTAATGTTTTGTATACCTTTTATAGTGTGCCCTCGTGCGTGTAAAACTGAATATTAATGCCTGAAACGACGTACTCTGCTGCTGAGCATGTAGCTGTGCAAAGCGGAGAGCTTCGTTGCACTCTCGCCTGTTATACATGCAAGCTGTTTGAACATTACCGTTCTTTCTTCAATACCCATTTCGCTAAGCCCATTTGTGTGTTTTTTTCAGTTTCATTGAAACTTGAAGTGCTACTCTGTGAATTCGAGAGAAAGAAAATTTGTGTGAGCTCAATAATGTTAAAAAAATTATTTAACAGTTATTGATACAGTAGCTTGGTGCATACCTATTGCCAAAATCCTTGTTGGGTAGCATCGTTATTTGGCATTATCAAATTTTAGTTTTGGGTATTACTGTCAAATGGTAGTTAAAACAGATCTTAAAGGCTGAGGCTCGGGAAAGCCTTGGGGGTGATGATGACCGCTTTGTTTGACCTTCCGCTGACAACACTGCCACAAAGATAGGAAAATGTCAACATTGTGGCTGCTGTGGCAAGACACTCACTCATAATGTGAACAATGTGAGGAGCATTTGCAAGGCACTTTTTACATGCAGATAAAGATAACTCATTATGAAGCATCTCAGGACGCTAAAACTAAGTTTCACAGCTGCTAACTGACAGTTGCAAACATTAGAGGACATGTTTATTCAGTGACTTATAGGCATGTTTTTGCAAAATGTACTCCTAAAATTTCGCATAAGTTTTTATAGTTCAGTAAATTTATGTAAGTAGTCAATATTTCAATGTGGTTATTCTAACACGAGCATGCCTTGACGAATATTTGATGTTTTCACATTTGTAAAGTGACAGTATACTCAAAGCTTGTACAAACTTCATTTGTACGAGTATTTGATATTTTCACATTTGTAAACTGTCAGTATATTCAAAGCTTGTAGAGACTTCATTCAAGTAAAAATAAAGCTTGGGCACCTAGATAGAGTGTGTGTAATACTCCTACTCATACATCCATGCATGTTATTAAAGGTTAAAGGCTAATATATGTACATCGATTATACTCTGAAGAAAGAGTAACTTGAAACAATAGAGCAGAAGACTGTGCGTGTCGATACAGATCCATAATATTACACTAGTGGGAACTGTTGATGAGGATACAGAGAAGCGCTGCATTTTCCTGCTCTGCACCGTTGTCCGTATTTCATGCTCGTTCTATATTATGAACCTATAAACAGTCACAGCATTTGTCATTCTGACTTCCTCATGGCTCTGATGAGCATTGTTACAAGCGTTCTTAAGCGTTTCTGAAATTGAAGGCTACATCGCGATGGCATCTGCTGCATTTCCGTGAACAGAGACTAAGGCTCAAACTATTGCACTAAATACGTAGTTGTAACGCAGGTATCAATCACTATAACTATCATCTTTAACTGCATATTGCCAAGGGCATGGAATGTGATTGCACTATGCCATTGCGTGTATGTGCCTCTGTCAAACTGAAGAGAAGACAAGGAATTAAAGACGACTATGAGGTCGTGTTTAAAGTGACTGGATCGGCTTGACGCCCACGTAGACAGAGGTTCTGTGTTATCCATAATAATTTGAGATTTATGCCATGGGCATAGAATGAGACTGCTATTTCATTTCATGCCCGTGGCAATATGTACTCTCTAA